ACAAGTAAAACGGCAAGCATTATCAGATAGCTAGAACAAGAAAACACTGTTTTCAATGATGTTAGATGTTAATATCATTCCTTAGTGTGAAGAATGAATCTAAAAGGTAATGAAAATATGAAATTGATCTGTTTAAATTGTGATATATTTTACAGAGGTTGTCATTCAAAAAATTTATTATTATGTTTCTCAAACTGCTTTTGCTCATATCTGGCAACTGTAGTTTACTAGGATCAAATGTTTTAAAGTGTAAAAAAATACTAATGGTTTATAAAGACATGAAGCAGCAGCACATTTTGATTTAGACAAAAGTATATTAATTCCTGAATTTTGTTAAAACAATTTAAGCAAGAAATAAATATATGTTGGTTTTTGAAGTTGTTATAAATCAATAGAGGTTGAAATGGAAAAAATTTATTAATATTTTAGACATGTGTTAAAGGAATGGCGAGACAAATAAAATTAAACAAATGCTTGGTCAGAAAATTGGGTTATTAAATATTTTGAAAATAATATATGTAAGGCCAGAGGGTGTATATGTAATACGGAAATAGATAAAATTAGTAGATGATAAGGAAATGAAAATTCTAATAAATATCATCTACCCTATAAATTAATAATAAAGATAATGGATTTTGCAGAACACTTTAAAATTTACATTACTGAATGTGATTTTATTATTCAATTTTCCTTACATTTGTAAGTTTTTTCCTTAATATCATGTTTTATAAGGTGACCTGCAGATTCCTTATCTTTCCATTTTTCTTGCATGCCATTAATGTTATCTTATGAAATGCACAATGTATTTTAGGTAGAGAAATGATTAGAATGCATAATCATTCATAAGAATTAAAAATTTTTGATAAATAGTAATTCTTTGGTCGATCACATTTGTGGCTAAGCAATTTGACTTATCCAATCAAAAAAAACTATTTTCAGCTCTGAAAAGTATAGTGTTCTTGATCCGCATTGTGATTGGCTGATTATGGAAATCCTTCCAAATTTGGTATTTTTATTACGTTTTTAACAGCCACGATAAACAACCAATGAGAGAAACCCAACTATGCATCATACTATTTTGTTGAAATGAGAAAATGATCAACGAAAGGTATTTCCTGTTATAGAAAGTTACATAGAGCATTGAAAAACTTAGATTATCTTTATATAGATTATCTTAAAGAAAAACAAAAAATTTTTATTGGGCAGGCTTCAATTAAATATTTTTTCTAAAGTAACGTGATTTCGGAAATCCTGCAGGTACGATAAAGGTTATTTTTTGGACCTATCACGCTTAATTAAGTAGGCCGGAAGTTAATCATTTTTCAGTGCGTCTAGCCGAGGTAGGTATGGAACGAGCCACCAATACAATATGTTGATCATTTTACATTATAAAAAAAATAAAATAATGGAAAACTTCGTTATTTTATTAAGAAAAAACAATATAACAATATGAAATAAATTCAGAATGTTTTGTAGCTAGAGAGCCGTAAACTATAAACTTATTAGTTAACATTTTCGAAATGTTATAAAATTTTTTTTGGTTTGGTATTTTAAAAGTTGTTCAACTTATATTATAAGCAACTTTTGAGTATAGACGATCTGCACTGTAGCATTATGGAAAAGTTAATTTGCATTTCGTTTTTACATTCTGTAAATTACGTTACATATTATTTATTTGTAAAAATAAATAAATTTGGGTCCATACTATTATAATTTAAAAAAAAAAAAAAAACAAAAAAAATATAAAGATGGAAAAAACTTTAGATCAAGATAGACACTATGACAATGATGATGAACATTCAAATAAAAGAGAGGAAAAATACGGGAAATGCAAAACTTGCAAAAGATATAATACTAATTATTCATGGTGTCAATCATGCGATCCAAAACTATTAACCGAAGGATGGACTAGTGGTAACGAGACATTAGACAGGTTGATTAAAAATACACAACTTAAAGCAACTGAGTATGATATTCGTTATTACCTTCAATGGGTTCCTTATGATAATTTGACAGATATTGAACAGATAGGTGAGGGCGGTTTTGCAACTATATACAAGGCTAATTGGATAAATGGTGATAAATTTACAGCTAATAATGAAAGAACGAGTGGTAACTTAATTGTGGCGTTAAAAAAATTACAAGACTCTCAAGATATTTCTAACGAATTTCTTAACGAGGTTAATTATTTATTATTATTATTTTCAGATTTTTTTTTTGTTTGAGCAATTACCTTCTTAGAAAATCTTTCATAGTAGCTGAAATTAATTTTAATAGTGGCCAAATTATATCAAAATTATTTGAATTCTTGACTCAATAGCCAAAATTCTGGATGGTTTTTTTATGTCCATTAATATAGAGAATATGGAAAAGCCAAATGTTGCCAAATATTTGGGCAAATGCAAAAACAATTTGGCTAACATGTATGCTTATTATAATTAAATTTGTTTCCAACTGTAATCTTTAATAATGGATTTGAAGTTTTATTTGTGATCGTCTTATATTGTTATTTCACATACATTTCTTTTTAATAAATAAATAAATAAGACCATGCAAAAGGAAACTTTCAAAGAACAAGTTCTGAATTTCCCCCCTCCTAATTATGGTGGTGGTGGGTTTACCGTTATTTTGATAATATAATTTGTTTATGAGGAGGATAATGAGATAATTAAAGAAAACAGTAAATGTTTCATTTATTTTTTTTTTTTTTTTGTTTATAATTACTATATAAAATAGATAATAGTTTTACGTTTGAATAATTGGGTCTTCCGAATAATATTTCATTTGGATTAAGTATTTTAATGGTTAAAAACCATTCTCCTTTTATGCTGAATGGATTCCATTGCTAACGCGAAATATTTTGTATTATTTCTTGTTCTAGTCTTAAATCAATAAAAAAAAAAAAGAAAACGGACACTAATTTTCCAAGAAAGGATTTTATGTATATATTTCATGGAAACGCATCTATTGTTATTGTGATTACTATTTCAGTTAAACCAATAATGCATATCGTATCTTCAAATGATACGATCCTACGGATAAAGTTGATTTTAAATATTACATTTGACAAATTAATGATTATAACATTCAAATCAAAAGAAATGTATTTATTTTTCATGTGGCGGAAGATTATTTACTATTTGCCTGAATTATAATATAATTCAGAATGAACTATTTCCGAATTGATAGAAAGAAATTAGGCAATAACATTCCAATTTGGATAAATAATGATATTTTTAGATCGGGACTTCCGTGTCAATTGATTGGATTATGGCTCTTGAATCCAATCTTGGACCCGATCTAGAATTAATTTGGCCAAGTATTTTTAACCTATCAAAAGCTTTGGACGATACTTCACCATTAAACTGCATAGAATAAAATTCTAGTATGATCATGATGTTATAAAAACCTTTAGACAAAAATGGCTTCGAATTATAGCGCTATTCTAATATCTTCCTTTTCCGTAAAAGCAAAACACCCACACATATGTTATGCATTCGTTGTTCTTTCTAGTATATCGTTATAATATAAGTTATGAAAATAATACTAAATGTTTGTATTAGTAATAAGGGCTTCATGCTATCAAAAATCAAAGAAAAATTTACGCGTATCTTTGATATTGAAATTACCAGCATGCACTGTATTATCTTTAAGCGTGTTCTTTAAGGAATCCAAAATAGTCTGTAATGATTATATAGCAACTTTATAATTATTCTGCCGTCAAAATTATTTTAAAAATAAAAATATTTACACAATTTTGAAATTGGTCAAGATATTTCTCAACGTCATCATCAACATTTATAATGAGTTTATCAACTCCATGTTCTTTACGATCATTGAAAACCCCTTATTCAGACCATCATTTTCAATTTGTTGTTGAATGTATGTGATGGTAGATATTTTAAGCATAATATATCGTTGAAATTTTATGACTCCAATGTGTAGTGACCTATTTTAAAGAAATGAAATATAAAGATATAAAGTTTGAATATGATAATATATATATTTAAGGTATACATATAGATAAATGACTCACGTTTTTAATCCTCGTCATTATCATTTAAAGAAGAAAAACCAATATTATGACCATTCCATAACCAACTTAGAGCAACGATATGCAAACTAGATAGAATTTCCTTTTTAATATATTTACGTAAAATCTTCGGCTTTCAGAAAGAATCCAATAATTGGCCATTAAAATCAAAATAATTTATATTCGCAAAAGAGAATTTTATAGATAATATAATTTATTTAATGCCTACTTTATTTTCCTTTTCAATTTTTTTCTACACATAAAAAAAAAAAATAATTAATTAAAGGATTTGGTATTTAAACTGAACGCAGAATCTTCATCCATTCCTAACTAGAATGACGAGTTGCGGTAAAAGCAGACATACTGTAAAAACACTTACTCGTTTAATCTCCCCGATTTATTATCTTTACTTTTTTTCTTCAAATTTCTTAACAAAATATTTATTTTCATTATATAGCACGTAGTCAGGGACAATGATTTTAAAAGACAAATTTTGCCAATCAATTAGACGCGCATACAGAATGAAAAAAAAACGCCAAAATAGTTTTTCATAGTAGCGGAATTAACTTCAACATTCTTTGGCTGATAACAAATTCTGGGTGGTTTTTTTATGCCTATTAATATAGAGAATATGGAAAAGCCAAAATGTTGCCAAAATACTTAGCAAATAAAATTTTAAGAATTTTGTTTCATGAAATCTGGTAATTAGTAGTTTTGTTATAATAGATTTTAAATTATGAATTCATGAGCTACTTTATTGAATGTATATAAATGGTAATTTCAGAAAAAGTTGGGGCAAATGTAACAAATATGAAATTTTGTGTCCATTATGATGCCCTTTTTACTTACTAATGTCATTCTAAAAAACTTGATGGAGTTGCCTACAAAAAACACCAAATTGATTTCTAAATTAAAATATACCATTGCGGATATTTTTTGCGGATAACTACATGTTAACGTTATCATTATGCTTTATTTGAACAAATTGTGTTTATTTTACTTGTTGTATTTTAATGAATTTCTAAGTTTAGTTTTAGCATTCACACCTACAAATACAGTTTGGGGGCATAATACTGCTCTTGCTGATTCTAAAATATACTTTACAGGTGGAGTGATTCCAAAACAAACAATTTGGAAGACTGTCAACGATTTCTTTAATACACCAAATGAACTTGCCACACAATCTAAAGAATTCTATTATTTAGATGTATCAAAAAATTTTAAATTAAACGAGTGTGTAATGCCTTGGACGGATCTTAGTATTGTATCAGAAATTCTTCCACCACATTCCTGGAGTGCATTTTCATTTTGTGGACCTGATACTTTAGTAATGTTTGGTGGAGATTTTGGTAAAGCAAATCCCATAAATTTAGTTTTTATTTATAATATAAAAACGCAGAAATGGAGCAATCCAACAACTTTCAATCAACCTAATAATGTACATACTCGTGCTGCTTGCGACACGAAGGGTGGAGTAATGTATATGTTTTCTTCAGTTATGAATATTTTGGATACAAAAACATTAAAATGGAAAGTTGGTAGTTCAATTAATATCCCACCGGGAAGATTTGATTATACTGCTACTTTATTACCAAATGGTAATATTGTTTATATAGGAGGCGTTTCAGGTGAAGTGGTAGATTTGTTAAAGGTAATAATGAAATAAACCATGATAAATGATAATATAGATAAAATAATGTGACTATTTCTTTTTTTAGTTACCTTTGTATAATATAAATGATGATACATGGTCTTCAATGGTAAGTTTTGTTATTGAAAAATTTAACTGATATAAGTTTTACATGATTTAATTTATTATTATTATTATTTATTTTAGACTACTGCTGGTTATTTGCCTACACCTCGAGGTCATCATTCTTCTGTTTTAGGTAATATAATTTTTTAAAATCATTTGTTTTTTATAAATATATAAATAAATTTATATTAAGAATTTTATATATATTAATATAGCGAAGGATGGTCGCATTATTGTATATGGAGGTTATATTAACCGAGGAACATTAATTCCAGTTTCAGATGATCTTGTAATATTAGATACAACAAGTTCTCCTTTTACCTGGTCAAAAGCAAACGTTTCTACCATTTCACCACTTTCACGTACATATCATTCAGCTACTTTAGTTAATGAATATATGATTGTAGCTTTTGGAAGAAATGATATTTATCTGCCATTACTTGGAATGAATGAAATATATATTTTGGATATAAGTGATAAATTTAATTACAAGTGGGTTAATGAATTTAATATTAATCCTGTTAGTACAGCACCAACTAATCCCCGAGATACTTCAATTGAGACTACAAATACTGATACTGGGACAGATCATAATAATACAACAAATGTTGGCCTAATAATAGCAACTGTAATTTCAACAACTTTACTTATTTTAGGAATAAGTTTATTAATTTTTTATTATAAAAAAAAACAAAAACAAAATCGTAATACTTTATTTATACCCGGTAATGACAGAATTTAAATTCTTACTTTGCAATTATATTTTAATAATTTTTATTTGAAATTAAGTATTGGTTAAAAGAAATCAATAAATTATATTTTTATTATCTTAATGCAATTTAAGTTTGACCTTTAATACACGTAATCTTAAAATAAATTTTATTTGAGGTGGCAGGGGAGGTATGATTGTATGTGAGATGATGATATTTCGTAATTGTTAACTCATCCCAAATACGAACTTGTGGTGGGGGAACATGATTATAAAATACACGAAGCAAAAATCGACTTTAATACTCCTAAACTTACAATTTATGGCATGACTGTTCCGATGGTAAATTCAGTAAATATCTATAGAGTTATTCTGGATCAGACTAATTTCAATGCATTTTCTTCCAGCGAAACCTATCATCTGATTCCTGGCTATGACCGGTGAAGAAGGGTTGCCCCATAAAATAGTCCAGGATTGCCAAAGGTTGCGAAAACATCCAAAGCCAACCCGAGCTAACTTTTCAAGAACCCTTTCCAGCACATATAAAGTTAATTAGAGTTAAATGTCAAAAGTTGGTCGTGTTGTATCAGCTAAAAACCAGGAATGAGTTTTCTAAATATAACTGTCTCATTATGTAAAGATATGATGGCTGTTATTTTTTTTTTTAACCACAAAAGATATTAGATAAGCTTAGGTTTCTATTCGAATTATTTGTTTTATCGTTATGAATTTAAGCAATCGAAATACATTGAAAGTTTATTCGAATAATACGAATAAAACAAATGAAGTGAATAAAATAAATAAAACGAATAAATCAAATGAATAAACGAATATTCTAATAAAATGAATAATTCGAATAAACGAACAATTCAAATAAAACAAATAACTTGAATAAACGAATAATTGTGTTAGAGATGTGCCGCGCATAGTGTTCTACGCACAAGGGTTTAAATATATTTTTTATAGACATTTCTAAAAAAAAAATTAAATATGCCATTTATTTTCTTATTATATGCTCATTTATGATATTTCCCTCCCTATGATATACATACACTATGCGCGAAAAAAATCACGGTTAAATTGAATAGAACGGATAAAGAAATAATTCGAATAAAAGAGCAATTTGAATAATTCGAATAAATGAATAATTCGAAAGTGAATAATAATAATAATAATAATAATAATAATAATAATAATAATAATAATAATAATAATAATAATAATAATTCAAATAAATACAATTCGAATAATATTAATAATAATAATATTAATATTAAGGTTTGACTAATTCGAGAAAAATCTCACAAGGAATGATTTGGCTCACAAATTTTACGAATTAATAAAATTATATGATTCGGCGACAGGTCCAGGCCTAAAAAATGAACAATCCAAAGAAATATTCTTTGATAAAGAAGAAAAACGAAGTCATTTGATTTGTAAAAGACAAATCTTTGAAGGATATACTAGAAAATGGAATATTATCGTGACTCGGCACCAAATATCGACTCAGGCACTATAGACCAAATGGAAGCAAAGAAGCTACGTTTTGGATTAACGAAACAAGGTGATGATGGTTCGATAGAAGAATTCTAATCGAAATTGAAAAAAATGGTAGGTTTCAACTTGAGATGCAATTCTCTATGGATTATCGCCAGGAAACCAGGTTGAAGTAGCGGATTTAACTATAGAAAAGGATAGATGAAATTGGACGTTTATTACGATAAAAGAGGGGGTGTGTTCCATATCTAAGTCACCTATATAGATAACGTGCGTTATATGAAAACAATCACGTTCACTCCGATCACGTTAAAACCTCGTCGACAATGGGAATTAATTGTTATGTGAATCCCTACATAATAAAAAAATGTAAATATGGTTAAAACTTCTTAATTGTTGCGTGGGTCTATCCATAATCATTTTAAACTTTGTTATTTATCGAATGCTTTAAATGTCACAGTGATGAAATTGGAATAAATTTATTAAAAGTCGCAGCCTTATCTTAGACGTCAAGTTATTCTGAAATAGTCAGAGAATGAATGAGCGACGCGTCGTAACTTACGTGTATCATCGTAGAAGGTAAAACCAATACAACTATTTTCTCGAAAGTTCACCTCCGCAAAAAAAAAATAAAAAAAAATGAAACGTGATAGGTAAAATCTAAAAATAATTATACTAAGGTTTGTCGCTAGAAGGTATTATCAATTGTTTAATTGTGTGTTTCTTATTAAATAAATTATGATTTGATTTTTAAAGACTTGTACGCGATATTAATCAATGTGAAAAGAATGAAATGTCTTGCCAATTCTTTCGTCTAATTAACAAAAGTTAGCCAATTTCATACCAATATCCATTCCTTTGGGAGATCACAAACTTCACTGTTGCTATTCTTATTCACACCTTTGGATTGTTTAATCCGATTATTATATATGGAGGATATTGAGTAATTAAAATATGAAAAAATAAAGTTACGAACTGTTTAATTTTGTGGGGGCCAGGATCACAACCACGTTACATAATAAAAATCATTATTAGTAGTTATATATGAATTTCCATAATGAACAATAGTCCAATTATTAGTCCGAGATAGTATTGCTTGTGACCAATTAGTATTAACAATTCATTTGTGTGTGCCGAAATTTTGTGTAGATACACTACCTCCAAAAAGTATTCGAACGAGGTTTTTTAATAATTACACAAAATGCCACATTACGAAGTACATAAAATCTATGTGATTATATGGCTTAGGTTTTGACCGTTCTACATATAAATCTTGTTTTTTATCCTTCTTTTATGATCTTTAGTTAAAAAAGAGAACACCGGTCAAAATAATAACACATTTAATATTAATGTTCGTATTATTAATTGCCAACTTGGATATATAAACCTAATTAATAATTGTGCTTTTATCCTTTACAGTACACCATAACATTCAAATTAACCTTAATATATATTTAATGAATAAATGTTTGTATTATAATTGGACCTTTGGCCATTACGGCACGCACACATTTAATGAATTTCATACTAATAAATGTTTTAAAATGTTTGTATCCAGTTATTAATTGATTAAAACTTGTATACATGCCTGATTTATAATAAAAATTTGTCCATTGCAGCCAGCGCACGCTATTTTATTAATGTTTGGGTATGAATCCACGATTAAATTTTTTTTCACCCTTTTTTGGGGCAACACTAAAAAAATAAATAATTATCCACGAGAATGAAAATAATTTTTATTTTTATTTGTAAGAATTTAGAAAAAGCATATTAAATAAAATAAAAATTAATAGATTACTACAGTTCATATATGGAAATAAATCAAGTGATTATGATATTGTGGTGAAAGAATAACAATTCACGCAAATGTACCAATACATACATATTAATATGATAAAAATAAATAAAAATTAATAATAATAATAATAATAACAATAATAACACTTTTATATGTTCTTCCTTATCACCAATGTAAGGAGTTGAACACCTATTAAAAAAAATCACAGGTGTATTTATTATTATACATCTAATTGTCAAAAATCCAAAGTAAACAAAGTTAAACAAATTTGAACCTATCGTAGCACAAATTGCTTATGTGAAACTTTAATTGGTAAGTGATAATAAATATTTGTGGAGAGTTGAACATAAGATCTGTGTTAGTATAATAATAATAAATCTTTACCAGTTGACGTAATGAACGGGTGACACTTAATCCCGAAATGGACTATTGGTGTTTGATAGACATTACATGCATGGAAACATCATTCTAATGCAGCAGAAATATATTTAATTGATAAATTGTGATATTATTTTACCAAGAGGGGGACATGTCATCAACCATGAATTATAATTTTGCGTTTCAATGAAAGATTTTATAAGTTCAAAGCATATGCGTACAATTGCGACTGATATGTAATCATTGGGTTGGTTTCTTAGCAAAAGGTTTGGATTTTCAAGCAATGGTGTTTGTCATGTGAATCAAGACTTGTAAGGAAGGTGGGAAATTATGTTGACCCAAACTTAAAATCTGGTTTTAGTCAATGAATGGGCTATGTAATTACTTAATTACCAGTGATCACATTTAATAATCTATTTTTAGTTTAAATTATATTTTTGTAAATAATGTTAAATATTTTTTGATTATTACTTGTTTTATTTTTTTAATTAATATAAAAAAAGATGAAAGACTATTTACAAGAAAAGAAAAGATTTATTTTTAAAAAGTGGCCTTATTTTATTATATGTATATATCAATTATATATATCATACAGCCAAGGTATTTCGGAATTGATTGTTTTTCACAGGGATAATATTCTCATTTTTACAGTATTGTTCTTTTATATAGTATAATGGTGTATTATCATCGTCGTCATTATCATCATCATCATTATTGATGGGACCAATTGATTTCATCGTGAATGGACAATCAAAAAAATCTAGACAATCGTCATCATTCAATGTATCGACATCGGAAACTGTTGATTTGGTCGAGGATGAGGAGTAAGAACGGACTAGCGTATTTGTACTACTCGAATCACTTGACGTGCTCATCTTACTTAATCTGTTCTTTCTACGGGCTAAAGGTATATCCTTTACTATAAATTCATCTGAAGATTCATCATAGATTGTTAAACAATTATTTTTTAGATAAGAAGGTCGAGATGACGGTAAAGGTAAATCGCAAAGTGCTAAAGTTGACTTTCTTGATCTTAAACTATTACAGTAATTACTGTTGTTGCTATTACCACTGTTATTATTCCATTTCACATTTATTTCAAAAATTTTTGCTTTATAAACATTTAATTCCTTGCGTTCTCGTTCTTGAATTGAATCATTTGATAATTTTTCCAAGATATTATTTAATAAAATGACTCGATGTAATGGTTGTGATTGATATTCTTTGTTCATAAGACGTATTTTGCGTATTGTACGCACATAAGCAAAATGTTCAACTGATCCACATATAACCTTTGTATTATCCATTACTCTATTATTATTGCAATTGTTGTTTGATGTTGTTAATGATGGTGATGGTAATGATAAGGGTGATAATAATGTTGGTGATTTTAATAATGGATAATTGGATGCAGTGATCTTGTATTTGCTTGATCTTTGATCAAATGATAAAACCGATAATCTCTCGTTCATAAAATCCGGACTCGCATTACAATTATTGTAATTGTAATTATTATTTGATGACAAAGGTTTATTAATAATTATATCATCTTTTATCCTACGATCTTTATTAACAAAATAACTGGAAAAAGAAGATCTTGAACGTTTGATTGGGTTTTTTGATTTTTTATTGGTTGATGATGATGGTGGCAGTGGTGGTGGTGATGATGATGAAGATGATAATAATGATGGTAAAGATAAGGATAATGGTAATCTTAGGCTATTGTTGTTGTTGTTGGCGTCGTTAATGTGAGTTGATGATGATGACTTTGTGTTTTTTTTAGAGGAAATCATCATGCCTTTTAAATTTTTTTGATTATGAGTTGTTGAGGTTGTTGTTATTGCTGCTGCTGCTGCTGCTGCTGTCAAAGTTTTTTTTTTTGATGATGATGAAACACGATATTTTGTCCATTTAGTTAACTTTGATAATAAAGATGATGATTTTGAGGTTAATAATTGTTTATTATTAATATTGTTGTTATTAATGTCTTGATTCATCAGCGACATCGTTATTGTTTTTTAAAAGATTTTTGAATTTGAAATTGTTTTTCTTTACTAAAAAAAAATCTAAGATATTTTATAAAAAAATTAGTATGAGAAAAAAAAAGAATAATATAAATAAATTATTTTTTTTGGCTCACAATTAAAAAAAAAAAAAAGAGAATAATAAATAAAAATACATGATGATGACAGAATACCATCATAAAATAATCATTTTAATTAATTATATTATAATTAAAATAAAAGCAAACTTACCCTCTATATATAATATATATATAAATAATTTTTGGCGTTTGAAAAATAAAAAAAATTATATATATATATATATATAAATATATAAATATAAATATATATATATAAAAGTTGAAATTGGGGTTTTTAAACAAGAAAAAAAGTGAAATATTTTTTTAATTTAAATTATTTATAATAAATAAAACTTTGAATTAATATGTATATTTGTTTGTTTTCTATTCGAATTTTTCATTCATAAAATAAAAAAAAAATGGAAAATTTATTTTTATAATTTAGGGAGACGAAGGGAAAATTTTTTAATGATTATTTACGAAGGTAATAATATATCGACTAATGAATATCTATCGTCGATAAATATAGATTGAAGGATAAAATTTACATGTATATTAGTAAAAGAATACATATAGGAAAAAAGGTTAAAAAATTTTTTAACAAAAGAAAATCATCAAAATTTATACAAATTTTTTAATAAAATAAAGGTCTAAAACGTAAAAAATGTTGTTTGTTACATCGAGGGCATTTGTTTGTTTGTGTATTGCGCTTATTTCTTTAAAACCGCGAGTTTTTTACCAAAAGAGAAATTTTATCATATTTAATATTAATATCAATTACTATTATATCATCTTTGTTCTCGATAATCACTCTTAATTTGTTCGTTTTGGTAAAAAATAAAATTTAATACCTATTTTACAAGTTGTGAAACCTCCTCTTAATTTAATTATGTCACAGGAAGGAAAAGATATATTTTTTTTAATTAAATTAACTTGAAAATCACAAATTAAAGTTCGCAAAACAAATAACAATAACCAACCACCTGTCACAATCCTAACTAACTAAATCAAATACAATCAAATAACGAATAGCAATAATTGATAAATATATTACCATGCTTCTACTTTGCCAATGTCGTTGTTGCCCGTCACTGCTCTCGTTGCCTATTAATCGATACTGCAAAATTTTTTAAAATCTTGTTTCTAACTTGTTATTTTCCAATCGACTTATGGATGTATGTATACCAATTTAAATCTGGAAAAAGGTCGCATAAAAAAAACAATATTTTGTTTATTTACAATGATAAAATAATAATAAATAACTAATATATTGGTACTAGCAATAATAATTAATGATAATGGATGATACGAAATATTACGCTAAACATTCTAAATCCACCATCATCGACTTTTATAACAACACCAAACAAATGCAATTTCCTATTTTGTCAAGAATTCATAAACATAAACTAAAAATTTTCCTTGTACAATTTTGTCATCGTTTACCACTATCACTATCTATTTTTATTTATATTCGTTTCATTGTTATAATTGTTATATAATTAATTGCAGTCTACTCGACGATGTATATATCTTGTTTGCCGAAAAAAAGAATTTGACTACATATTGTTGTTACACTTGACGCATTAATTTCATATGACAAAACATTATAATAATTATAATAGAAAGTAGAAATATTTGGTGACGATAAAATCCAAATTCGCATATATAATTGTATTGTATTGTCGGGTAATTTTAGTTTTTTTTCTCGCTACTTGTAAATAAATTAAGAAATATGCAATAACTAGATATTTTTAAAGAGTATTTAATTCAGCAAAAAAAAAAAAAAATAAATAAATATCATCGAATCAATCTTAACTTTATTTATAGTTTCTATTTATGTAATTTTTACTACTAGCCTTATTAGTTAATGGAGACCGAGGAAAAGTAAAATAAATCGAACAACGGAAATTATTAATTATAACAAATAAATAAATAAATATTTTTTAGTTTTTTTTTATGGTTATTAAGGAAATGTGAATAGTCTATATGCATTGTGTAAATAGGGCTTTTTCATTTGAGCTAGAAACACGTGATTTTTGCAAACACCTGTATTATTTGTAATAATTAAGACATGTATGGTTGGAATGGGCCAATTGAACAAGTGAATATCAAATCGCGATAAACAATTTAATCTATTGATTTTTAATTGTTTATATTCGTTAAATAACCTTTTCTTTTTTTTCCCTAGAAACATTATATTTGTTCCTTTTATAATAATCATTGTATTTTGGGGAACAATTAAAACAAATGCACAGGACTATTCCGTAATACAGTATCATAAAAAATCGTGAAAGCAGTCCGGTTCTGCCATTGACGATTGACATATTGATAAGATCAACAACAAGTTCCTGCCCTGTTTGCTGCGCAGCATTTTTGGGGATAAAATCAAAATTCCTGTAAAAATTCAATGCCACTTTATTACGTCAACAATATGATGCGAGCTCGCTCAACTTCGATAAGTTGGCCTTTTGTTGGAATTCTTTTTTAAAAAATATTTACAAACTTTGATTTCTCGAAACAGTAACGGGATTTTATATTGTGTCATTGGTATCTTGTATTTGGTAATTATTAGATGGTTGAACATCTTTATTTATTTATTTTTATATTTTTATTTGTTTATATTTATACAGGACGTGATTATGGTAAATTTATGGATTTTTATAATCAGCGATAATTTGGTATTTTAGTATCAATATGCCGGATAAAATTAAAGTGGTATTGATTATCTTTCTTTTTTGGATGACTAGTCTTTTTGACTCTTTCGATTAACCCATTGAATCTACTAATTCTCATTTATTTCACTTTCTTGTATTTCTGATCGTTCAATTTGAGTAGCATAATTTTCAGAATGAAATTTTCTTTTCATCATGATTCATCATTAACTAAAATTAGTAGGAAACAAGGCATAATGAATCATTTACCTACCATACATTAAGTGATATATATTTGTTACACCAAAGTTTCCATTTGTATAACAAAGCCCAAAGTTTAATGGGCTGAACACTGAGAATACATCTTAATATGTATTGAACATTATGCCATAAAGGAACAAAGAAAATTTATTTAACATCACAATCGTTTCTTGTTTAATAACAATCTCAATATCCTCCATATTATAATGATTGAGTAATCAATCAATCCAGATATAAATCCCTACTAGTGACACGTCCTATTCCTCGCTATATATGTATATGTGTATATGTGTATATATATATATAATAAAGGAAAATAAAAATTTATACCAAGTTGGTTATGGAAACTAATCCTTTATTTCAGCGCCGCCTGGAAAAATGTTTTTATTATCAAGATGATTATTATTTTTTATTGGTAAAGATATTTTTATTATTATATATATTATTATTATTTCCACTCGGACAAAGCCAAAGACACACGCAAAAAGAAAAGTCAAAATCTAAAGCCATTTAAATGCTTGAAGTTTTTCATCAAGTTACTCTATTATTTCCAATGAGTCATGCATTACAAGGAATTTCTTTGTGCTATTATAATATTCTTTAAAGAAAGGTAAAAGTTATCATCTGAGAATTGTTAAAAAGTGATTTTTTGAATTTGTTCACTGATGTATTTAACTAAAGAACCAATAATATTCATTTCTCTCACCATTTATATTAGAACTTAAGGGTCCGTGTTAATTTTTAGCTTGGTTCGTTTGCAAAGTGTTAAATGATGAATTATTAAATACAATGTTGTTTATTATCTGTGGTTAAAATATATAAATTTTGGCTCTAAGTTAGTATTAGAGTAGCAAAAATGATTCTAATAACAAACTTCCCACTTGACCTTTAAGACTTGTATGTCTTTAAATATTTCTCATTTTGAAGAGTTTACACCAGCATCAGTAGATGTCAATCCACCATGTTCGTAATTTGCTTGTATTATATCTTTTGTGACTTGTTCTCTTAATACTATTCATTATCCATGTCTTCATCCATAGATTCCACCCACCACTATCATCATTTTAGTGTGTCTTATATTATGGATTTGTTTTATTGAAAGAGATGATGAAAATGGAAATTGCAAATGTTGACGACTGCACTTTATGTTTTTCTTAACTACTTTATTTCCATCATTTTTCTGTTTGTTTACAACAATGATTATTATTACTATTATTATAGTCCATCATAATATAAAAAAAGAAGCCACATTTGCGACTATTATAAGGAATTCGTAGTGATACCTGTCTAACTAAGGTGAAAAGTGAAGTAAGAGGTTGTGAATTAAACAAATCTACAACAACATTGATTAAAAATAAAAATCAGGTGCACAATCATATCAACTGTCACTTGGTGAAATTCATTGTTGGTACTACACAACTATTTCAAAAATTAATGATGATGAAGGTTTTGTTTGAGGAGTAAACAAGAAGAAGGTTTTTTAGTTTTAATTTTTTTTTCTTTTAGATAAAAATCCCTTTGATAACATTTTTTTTGTAAAGAATGATAAACTTTATTGATTGCCATAAAAATCGATTGTTACAATTTGCTGATCAATTTAATCAATCTCTCTAGCGTGCATATTAATTAAACATATCGTGCATATACTATATAGCATAAAATGTAACCACACCTGACCATATTAAACGAGCTGATTGGTGGATTTTCTGTTTAGGAGATAGATAATTTCACATAATCAGTGGACAGGGTTTTACACGAATTTGATAGTGATAAAAATTCGTAAATATCAAAAGAAAATTGAAACTTGTATTATACCTGATTATTTTTGACTTCTGTTCAAGATTTTCCCAAAATGTAAGTTATTAGAGGATAATAAAAGATGAATTTATATACATCACTAAAGGTATAACTAACATTTAATATTTTCAAAAATATACAATTCATTCAAATTTATTTTATAGAATTAATAAAGATGGAATTTTTTACCAGTTATTATAATTGATATATTTCAATAATGTATTTTTTAACTAACCATCTAAGAACTACGGAAAATCTATACAATAAATAGTTTTTATTAATACACAAGGTTCTGCATTTTTTAAAATGTCATATATGTATTAGCACCTTGGCACAGTTGAATGTTTTGTAAGTGGTTAGTTTGTTTACCTTTTAATAAAGAATTAAACAGAACATAGAATTGTCATGGATTACGAGAAAACTTCGAATCATTAAAACGAGATGTTCATAGGTACATATATTCAACCCAAAATGTAATGTTATTCTATTTTTAAATTCATTATAATGGCGCGCTAACAACGAAACTGTGACAGGTGTCCATAACGAAAAAGGGAGATAGAAGATAGATTACAAGGTGTGCAAGTCAATGAATTAGATTACGACCACCTTATTACCTATCGCTAATATATCAGAAGAGTCTCGCAAAATATTCAATGAGCCAAGCAAAAATTTTTATTATCTGCGAATAGCTGCGAAGAACTTATTCACAAAGAGAGAAAGAGTGAACACATTAAAAATTTGGTGATTACTATGTTTGGTATATTTTTAGATCATTACAGGATATAACTGATTGGATGTATGCTAGGCGAATTTGGAAGTCACAAAAATATAGATCTTGTGTGACCACTACTTAGAAAATTCATATATTAATATGCAAGGAAAATTTTACTATTAATATAGAAAAATGCAATTTTCGTATGGAAATGTATTAGCATTAATAATATTATATTAATATTATATAGTAATAGGAAAATGACTCGGGAAAAAGTACGGAAAAAGTATAATTTTCCGTACATTTATATATATAATATATTAATATAAAATAGTTGAACAATGTATAATAATAGAAGGCGTAATTTTTCCGAGGCATTTTCCTATATTTTCTTGCGTAGTCATGTCTGCGAGATATTATCGCTATTATTAAGCGCCGTTTTTTGTACGGAATATGCATATATGTGCCATCCATAGTAGTCCTGATTTTTTTTTCGCGTATATTACTCATAGTGCGAATAGTGTATTATAAATGCGCGCATAATAATAAGAAAACAAATAGCACATAATTTTTTTTTTAAATATTTATTAATAAACAATGTCTGTAAAAAGCATAGCTAAAACCTTATGAGTAGCATACTAGGAACATATATATTATACATAAAAAGAGCGCTTTTCCGCACATATTTGCCCTAAAATGTATTGGAGGGTACGGAGTTTTCAGAAAATGCCCCGAAAAATACATTCCGTACATTTTCCGTGCTTAATAATAATAATAATAATAATAATAAGGAATTCTATGTTGGCATAAATACTAACCCTGAAAATACATATTGTCTAATTCACATATTATTGACTTTCAGGACTGGAATTGTGTGTACTATACGAAATATTCTATATACTAGTAACTATTGAGATGAAACCCGCTTCAACCGTCTCAAATTCACTTCCTCACCATTTTTAATATATTTGTTAATAAAAATTTTTTCATTGTATATTGATATGTAATACCAATAATTCTGCGTGTTATAAACCTGATGAATACATACATGTGAAAAAATCAGTTAATTCCTACACATATTGGCCTTGCCAGCTCTGCCGAGAATATTCGAATCAATATTATTTGCTTCTAGAATCTACATATCTCTTCATACTTCGTGGAGCACAAAGTGCTCTAATCAAATACAGCATTTGTATCTTACGTATTTCTATTTATTACAATTATATCTTCATCATCCATGATATGCATATATTTATTTCTGTTTTGATATTGTAAATATTGCATAGATTTGTAGTGAATCTACCTTGAGATTTTCATTTGTTATTCTTGATTTGCGAGTTGATCTGTGTAGCGACGTATTATATCAAAGTATAGTCATTCAAATTCTTAGGCAGAGCCAGCAATGGTAGATCATTAGATTATACCAAATACTCATTATCATATACTCATTTTTTCGCACCACAACATCAGACGCAATACAGTTCACAAGGTAAAATTAACTCAAATGATAATTCTTGAGCGATTGGAAAGTATGTATAATTCTGGATCATTTGTTTGGAAATCTTTAGCACTGGTAAGTCGTCCTTCACTTAATATTGTCTATACCAATGGAAATGCCCCAAGAATTCCTAAGGACATATTCAATAAAATAATCTATAAAATGGAACATACAAGAGATCCTACCACAAATACACAGGGATGACAACCAATACAACTTTCCCAATCCCCTGGGAATGCATCAACGAATTTGGATGTGATTATGATATGATAGATATCAAAAGTGTATTGAACTAAAATAAAAGTGATAAAGGCAATAGTTATTCCAAACCAGATCCAACATCTTATCTGAACTTTTCCTTGTATTTAAAAATTTAGGGCAAGGAATGCAGGTGTGTTATGTTGCATGTTAATTCGTGATTCTTTTAAGAAGGAGTGAATTTTATTGTAACATTTTATAGTAAAAATCATCCAGTTCGCCTTACGTTCCTATTGTAACATGATTTTTCCACTTGCATTTTTGTAAATCAAACATTTGGATTCAATAAACAGACTGTTATGAATATTTTTATCAAAAAAAAATTTTTTTTGTTCAAGCCGTTTTTGCTATTTAAATCTTGTTTGGGGATTATGGGTATAAAATCAACATAATACAAAATAATGGTTCGTCAAATTCTTTCTCAGCTGATTCTTTTTTATGTTCTCTACTAAAACGTGTTACTCATTTGCATCCAACTCACCTGCTTCTACTCTTTGTTTTAGATCTGCAAGCATTTCTTATCTAGGCTCTTAGAAGTTGTTTTACTTGCTCAGACATGCGCCTACTTCCACTATGCTTTCCAAAAATTGTTTTTCACAAAGAGCTCAGCCCAGTTCAAAGTAAGTCATTTTAAAATTAAAAATTTTTAATTAACACCTAGAGATATTTATTATATTAATTTTTTTCTCTATAATGGACCATTTGGTTTAGGAAAAAATGTCTGTTATAGACAATAATGATAATAATTTATATATATACATATAAATTGGGCTTAATTTTTCAGTACATTATAGAGAGTGGACTGTAGAGAGAAACTGTTATAGACAATAATAATTTATATCAATTATATATAGGATGTGAACTGTGTCTTATTCATTTTTTTAACTGCTTCATCTTCATTCCCAGGCATCATTATATGGCGTTTTTCGTTTTGTATATTTCAATTAATAATGGATAGCGCATTGTTCAACAATGCAAATTTTCATAGGGAAATAAGAAAAATATTATTTAATATATACCTTTTGATTTTGTATAGGCTTTCTTCTCTAATCTGCTTTCATAATGTAAATGAGGAATAATGAAATTAAATTTTACTTTTAATAAGGGTTGGTTTAATTTTTAAAAAATTGGTTGGAGATTTATCGAGATATATGTGTTTTATTATATAGCATAATTATCCCTGCCGATCCTTATTTAAAATCAATGCAGATCATTCATTTTTAAAAGAATCACGAATTAATATTTTCCTATCAAATTTGTACTATATAGTTTGTAGTTGAATTTTTTTATTAATCTAAAATATGGCTTCTGATTGGGCTGGATAACAGATAAAACAAAAGAATATTTAGTTGATTCTTTACAATAGTTATTTATGATGACAACATTATTTGAACTTGACACAATGTTGGTAATTTCGGACAAAAAAAGTTATTTATCCTATAAAATAGAAGATGTTTTCTCACTTCTACTCTTTCCCACTTGCTAATGGTTTGAAATGACTAGCAGAGAAAGTTGCTGCACACAAAAGTCACGTGTTTTATGAATTTTTACCCAAATGTTTTGTTACACAGTAACATCATGTGTTTTATAATTGTTTGTTTATTCTTGAAATTTCAAAGATCTAGGGCCTTACTATTTGGGATTTGGGATTGGACTATACTTTGGACAAGTATACTTGTTTGAACATTTTTTTTAAAAATATGGAAATATCTTTTAATGAAGATTACAGAGATTTAGTTTGTATATATTTTCAAAATATATCTTCATCAGTTCTTAGAGTAATAATTAAAACAAAAGAAGAGGGAAAAATTTTTTTTTTCAAGGCATATAGTCCATATCACTGACATCAACCTAATACTAAGAATAATGAATTGACATCATCTTCAGAATCTATAGATATGTCAGGGAATTTTATTTCGGAATCATTCCCTAGTGTGAATATTTCAATTATAAAAAACAAAAAGCCATCATGTTGAATGTCTTGGATGCTTTTACTTTTGGTATGGAGTTTTAGGTTAATGATTTTATTTCTTATAAAAAAGAGAGAATATAAAAATATAATATTAACCTTTTTGATTTAAAACTTTAGGTTGTCAACATATAGTAGAAAATTCATTGTTATAACTGTTGACATGATTCCCACAAATTAGATGAATACAGAAGGAGACATTGTCTTTGATTTGTTAAGATGAATTCACCCATCCAGGTTTTTACAATAAAAGACATAGTTGTGCTGATATTGATGGTAGCATAAAAAATTATAAAGAACATTAAATCAAATTATTTAAACCATTGTATCATACCATCAACAACATCCTTATATATAGGATAATCATTTTTATATTTTGTATCTGACCATGTAAGATTAGGGAGAAACATTTTTTGTGTCAGATGATGTGCTAAAAAAATTTATTTTCCCATTTTACAATGTTAATCACTGTATATACAAATATATAATAAGTTTTTTATTAAATGAAAACGAAATTGGATATCAGTTTATAGCTTCTGCCCTCATAATTTTAGCCATTATAATTTATAATAAAAATTAAACAATAAATGGGAAAAAATTTTGTTGTGCATGAATTTGCAGTGAAATTCAAATTAACCAATCAGAATTTCATATTCAAACACCTCACCCCAAGATTTTAATTATAGATTTCAATTTCACATACAACATAACTAAATACTCAACCAAATTGAATTATAGTATTCAAGAGGATTCAACGGATTCTGATGATCTTTAATTTTTTGGAAAAAAAAAAATAAATGAATTTTTCTTTTTTTTTGGGTACCCAAAAAAGTGTGGCCAAATGCAAATTAATGTTGATATTGTTCAGGATCCTGAAAATCCACATCCTTGACCAATTAAACTATCCCTTTTTCCTACTAATGCTAGTGAAATATATCAATCAGTCGGATGATGATTTCAAATTTTTTGATGATCGAAATTTACACTTGGTGTTAAAGTTTATAGCACATTTGGAAATTATCTTTTTTGGTTATCATACCCGATGATCTCCTGCCCACATTTTTTCCTTTTTGATAAATTTATTATCAAAATTTCACATAATATTTTCCATCTTTTCAACCATTCATCAAATTTATAAGGTGATATTGGAAAAAAGTAATGTTATTTTTGAATAATATAGTTTTACATAGAGAGCCGTTACCAACATGAGAGAGGATTCATCAGAAAGCTATAATGACATGGTTTTATTTTAGATTAATAATGATGCTTGAGTTTTTATGAAAAAGTGGGGACACAAAATTCAAACATAATAAATAATAAGTAAAATAGACAGATATATTTGTATAATCTTAATTAGGTAATTCATCTGGTATAGTTAAATAAATCTGTTGAGAAACTAAGAAATATTTACCATAAAATGAATATCAATATTATTAATGTTTATTGATATTATAATAAATAAAAAAAATAAAATGTTAATAATTACCATAGTTATCGATAATAGTCACTTTGTTGGAATTTACAGGTTGAGGAAGATTTGTAAATTTTAATAACCTGCTAGTATAAACAGCATTTGGATGAATTGTTGCAGTAATTGTTGATGGATCAAATTTTATTTTGTCCATTTTTGCAAATTCCTTGCTAATTAATTTTAATTCATCACATTCTTTTTTAGAACGTCCATAATATTCAGGATTATACATTACCATATCATCAAATGAAGTATTCCATAATTTAATAATATAAAGAATTTCCTTGGCAGTTGGACGTTTATCTGGATTAGCATTCATACATCTACATGCTAATTCAATATAGAATTTTGGTGTATTGTTTGAGAACCCAGGTCTTGTACCCTCACATATTTTTATTGCAAGATCTACATCATGTGCCAGATTACTAAATGGTTGTTGGCTAGTTGATATTACAGACATCAGAACTCCAAAACTATAAATGTCTGATGCCATTGTGTATGGTTTCTCTCTTAAAACTTCTGGTGCAACATATGGCAGCACTCCAAATATATCATTTTTGTTTGATGATGATACTTGACTTGCTGGACATGATAATCCCAAGTCTGTAATATATGAAGTAATAGAATTTTGAAGAATATTACCACTATGAAGGTCATGATGAATGATTTTTTGTTCATGAATATCATTTAGACCTTTAATAATATCACAAAGAATGTAGATTTTGTTTTTCCATTTTAAATTTTTAAAATCTTTAGTTAAATAGTTTTGAAGACTTCCGTCTTTCACATATTCCATTACAAATATATATTCATTTGTAATTGGATCTTGTGTTAATCCATAAATTTTAATTATATCTGATTTACCATGAAACTTCACATAATTTTTGAACTAAAAAAAAAATAAATTATTTAATTTCAACAATAATAATGATTAGTGTTTAAGAATCTGAAAAGAAAAATAGTAAAATAATTTACCTCATTAAGAAATTCATCAGAAATATTCTGTGAATTATGCAATCTTTTTAATGCTACTATTCCATCCTCACTAGTTCTTTCATTAATATGATAATTTACACTTTTATAGCCATTTAACCAAGTAGCTTTGAATATAGTTGCAAACCCGCCTTCACCTATCTTTTCAATATTTGTTAAATCGTTGTAAGGAATCCATTGGAGATAATATTCATTCTCATACCCAATTGCTTTAAGTTGTGTACTTTTAATCAACTCATCTAGTGTTTCATTACCACTAGTCCATCCTTTGGTTAATAGTTTTGGATCACATGATTGACACCATGCTCTGCTGGTATTATATCTATTGCAAGTTGGACATTTCCCAAATCTTTTCTTTGAATACTCATAATTCTTTATATCTAAAGTCTTTTTATCCTTGAATAAATTTTTGAATTTATCCATTATTTTTTATTTTACGGAGAAAAAGTTTTTTAAATTTGTAAAACAGAGAATAGTAACAGAACCGGTTACGCACAGTTAATTTAATTTCGTAGATCGTTTATTAAAAAATTAATTATTATACAAATATTTCACTAAATTTTATTAAATGTTAAAAACATGAAAGCTATGTAAGTAAATATTGAGAAGATATTTCATTATTGCCACACAAAAATGAGTATCAAAACTATTCGTGGATGGATATCCACTTATGCTACAGATTTAAAAAGAAAATATTGTCAGAAATTAGTACTTCAACTCAAAGTAATATTTAATATACAGGAATTTGATCATTTTATTATTATTATAAAATTAATATCCGTTGATTAATTATCAGTGAAAATTTCAACACCCGATTAATTAATCAATGAAAAATTTTCAACATCCGATTAACCAGATAATCGGTGAATATGAATATTAATATCATTCGGCGGATACAACCAACTATATAAAGTATTAATATCGAAAAACCCCTTCTTATATATGTAGCTTTCTTTTTTTACATTTATAAATAAAATTTAGTGGAAGAAACATAAGTTTTATATGTTGAATAACCATTTACAATCCTCGCTCGAAAAAAAATTTATATTATATTTAAAAAAAATATTTCACGAGATTTTTTAATTCGTTCGTTTATTGTTTTTAATTTCTTGAGTGGCTTAAATAATTTTCGATTCCAAAAAAAAATTTTCTATCTGTTTTCAGTAACTTTACATTTAAAAAAACATTGATTAATTTTTTTAACAATAAAGAAGCCTGTTTTTTTAGTGAAGCCAAAAATAACCTTTACATTTTCAATTTCAACAACGAGAAAGCAAATCAGTTCATTTTTTTTTTGGTGGCGATGTGCCTTTACATTTTTTAAAAAAAAGTCAGTTTATTGTAAAAGAAAAATTGTAAATTTAAAAATTGAAATCTGCGTCAATTTGAAATTCACGCGCGTGAAATTTAAATTAACAAATAAATATTAATGAACAAATTTATCTGGGGTAAATACTAATAATAATTATAATTATAATTATAATAGTAATAGGCATGGTAAAATATAAAGTGCCTTTAAAAAAAATGTTAATAGTAAGAGGTGTTTGTACACTTCCTTAAAATAATAAAAAGCCTAATGCAAAAATTTCATAAATCTAAATATCTAATTCCATTTGATTAGAATCTATAAATATAACAATTTATAACATAAAAATAATATTAATGTTGAAATTGATATTGCAAGCGTGTAATATACAGCTCGTGATGTGTCCAATAAATATATAAAATAAAATATAAAATACAAAAGTCCAATGTATAAATCTCCCTGTATCCGCACACAGCTCAGGGTTCTCAATACTCTATACCAGGCCTCTGTATCTGCACACAGCCCAGAGCCTACTCAAAATACTCTATTGCATAATTCTCTCTCTCTACAGTACTAATGCTAAGTACTGCTGGCACAAACCTAAGATAATAAAATAAAAAGAATATATACAAGAAATATTTACAACCATACCGCTTGAGGCGTCCCTATAAGCAGCATAGAACAATCAAACGGGGGTTCTTAACGTCGTCGTCGGAGGTGATGTCGAAATTAAATTTCGAATCCCTCGAGGTATCGCCCCTTCGTGGCTCAAATATCAAAAGTTCTAAAACTAGCCCCATGTCCAAGGCTCAAAATAAAATTTTCGCCGCAAGATAAAAAATTCCCATATACTGGTTCAACCGGTCCTAGTAAATACCAGACCAAAACTTTTTCTTTTTATAAATCCAATTTTCTCTTTTTTATTTTACTAAGACCACTAAGACCAAAATAATATATATATATATAAGGTACTAGAATCCGCCAAAATCAACAAAATCAACAAAATCATCATCCCTAGTAGTGGTCCTAGAAGGATTTAAACTCCAAATTCCGAATGAGTCAGATCTCCTGTATATATAAGATTTAAAGCCCGAACTCTGAATGAATTGGTTCTCCTGTATAAGATATAAGAAGCGGACTCAAATTTTTCGCCGCATAGATAAAAAAATTGATCTGCATAATAATAATACATATTACTACTTTTTTAATAATTAATTTCCGCTTTTTACTCTTTGTTGAATTACTATGATGTTATACATCAGGAAATTTTTCTGATGCAGATTTACGTAATTATTACACTATTTACATAAGTTTACGGCGGGCCCGTAATATTATGCAAATAAGCATACAAAAATTATGCAATTATTACATTGAGTGTAAATATTACATAATTTTTA